GGTGATTAATCAGAGGTTCAGGCCGTGACTCAGCAGTTCCCATACACCTTTCAATTGCATTGTACAAGAATATGAGGAAACTTTCTAATTACTAAGAGAAAGGAGCACTGAGTGTTTTCATTTGCTTGAGGAACTTCAATAATGAAAGCCTCTCCAGAAAGCAATTTAAGCTTTTCCACAAATAGCTTTGAAGTTACTCCACAGTAATTAGACAAAGGCTGGATCTCACGCTTCCCTTTTCTCTCAAATTAATCAAAAGCGCTTGTAGGCAAGATTGTAGGCAAGATCCATATAACAGTGTAATATGCCTGAGAAGAGTAAAATCCAAGTGAGAAAAATAATTTCTTTGAGCCACAAAAAGAAGAAATAATAAATTGCAGCGTGGCTCAGATCAAAAGTGAAGCACTGGAGTCAGTTCAGAAACTGAACACTTGATTTTATTCTTGCTTGTGTTGTGTTTCTGTAGAAGTGTTTCAGAGCAAGGTAGGAAAGCCTTCTGGATTCAGCTGGTTTATGGTTCCTCCAGAGATACTGGTGAAGGTGATATTCTGGCTTGTGCCACTCAGCTGCTGGAGCTCTTGTTCTGCTTGTGGCTTTTGTTCTTTGGGTACAGGAAACCAGTGCTGTATCCAGAAGGCAGCTCTACTCCTTGTACATTGCTGCATGTTATTATAATGCTGGGTATCCGAGATGTGGATGTTCTATGGTGAGGCTCTCCTTTTCTTAGTCCAATGCCACTCAGGCTCTCACCTCTCTGAAGAATGCAAGGTTTTAAAAGAAATAGAAGACACAAACATCTACAAAGAGTATCAGGCAGCACTGTCTATGAAAATGTGATGTATTTAGATCAGTGCTTTGCCAGTACCCACTACTACCTTAAAGCCAAACTCAAAAGATAGAGGATGAAGTAGATCTGAATACTTCTGGAATGCTTTATGAGTAATGTGGGGGGAGGAGGGGAAGTTTAAACAAGATAGTGTCTTTGTGTTAGTATATTAATTCAGAATTGAGTTTACTTTGAAGGATCAGGCTAATGACAGCAGATTCCTCTGTGGGAGGAAGAAAAAGTACTGAGAATGTACTCAGTGTAAGAGACAAATGATATAAAGAGTTCCTCTATTAAAAAAAAAAAACCTGCATAGTTGACAAAGCAGCTGTTTTGGTTCATTAAGATGAGGTGGTGTGAAACAGATAAAAAGATTGATATTTTGAAGGGGGGACAAACTAGAGAATGGAGTCAAACAGAAAAGGATTAATTTGTGCTACAATAGCAGTGCTATCCATCCCTAGCATGGGACCACAAAAGGGAGTGTTAGGATTAGGCTAATAATAGCTTGTAAGGAACACTACTATCAATAAAAATTACATTTGTTACATTTTTATTATTACTGCAAAGATAAAACTGATTTTTTTCCACCTATCAGCTCTTTTATTTCACTAATTTAGGGCAAGTTGACTCATTTGAAGAATATGTTTTAAAAAAAACAAACAACAAACATCAGTATGCTATAGCTTTGTTAAATAGAAATAGAGAGACACTATGCCCACAAAATAATGAATAAGTGATATGACATGTTTCAGAAACTTACCTGAATTTCCTCCACGCTGCATTTTTCAGATGCTTTGCACTACCCAAAACAGAGAACAATAAATAGTCAACAGTGTCACTTAGCACAGATGAACTTGCTACAAGATTGACTGTCCCAAAAGGACATTGAATAGCTACTGAATAGCTATTTCCACTTGCTGTATACATTGATTTTTCTTATCTTTATTTGAATAGTGTTTCCACTCACCCCAAAGCAAATCATGGGCAGGCAACCTACTGAATTCAACTTCAGTTCTCTTAAGAAGCAGAGCTCAAGGAGAACCCTGTAGCATGTGTATTCTCCATTAATTTCTGCACAGTTTCAGCAGTGATCTACCCTTGGAGGTCATATTTACTGTATCCTACTGGGAGTATTACATGGTTTTTGTTTTTTGTTTTTTTTTTACATCTCAGCAAATAACTTAATTTGTGCTCAGGGATTGGGATTGTCATTAGATTTTGTTGCTTCAACTAAACCCATGCCAAATATTAAAGTAGTTCTTACAGTAGAAGTAGCAGAATGCTCTGTGACATTCATTTCCACCATGGGTATTTCATCTGTGTTTACAATTGTCTGGAAAATGAACACAGGTGAAAAAGACAAATAATGTATAGGTTACCATGTCCCATGTACATGAAATACAAAGAGAGGGAAGAAGAAAGAAAGGGAACAGAGAAGGAATGCAGTAATAAACTAAATGTGACTTTGTACTACAGAACATAAAGTAATTTAATGGAGATAGACTAGTTTTCTATCACTCGCCATACAAGCTTATTTGATAACAAATGGTGAGACAACAGAACGATGAGTCAAGTAATTTGGGCAATATGGGGAAATAAAAATATTACAGATTATACACTTAAAAACAAACACAGGGCAACACATCATGCATATGCTATGTTCAATATAACAGCCAGAAATACGACAGCTGAATGATGAATTAGAGCTGTAAATAAAAAGCTGATGACCTTTTACAGCCTCAAGGACATTACTTACAGCACTAATTTACAGGTTATTCCCATCTTGTAGGCCAGATTCTTTTTGATTAGTTATGATAAAATGTTCATATTTGATCTACCTGTTGCTAAAGAATTCTGTTACTACGCAATCTATTACCTTTCCAAAAATCTCAGAATCGTGGCTTTTCACTTCAGCTTTGCCTCCTAGGCCACTAGTTTGGGTGGTATCTTTGCCCATTTCATAGGAAACCTGGCTGCTAGCAGGTCTGGAGGTCATACTGGTGATATCAGTTTCTGTATCGGTACAGCCCTAAAATGAATACAGCAAAAGCAATAGCATGGTCTTAGATTTCTGACCGAGTAGTATGATACCTAAACAGGAATTTTAAGAGACAGCCACCTTGTGAAAGTTATTTCAGGAAAGTTATGCCACGTACAACTCCATACAGTGTTTTGCTTTAAAGAAGTCCAAAAAACCTTATCAAATCTCTTCAGATAACTTTGGCTTACATCTTGTTTTCTTGTTTATTTTGGTAGGGTTTACTTCAAAATTTCTAACAAAATGATGTTCCGCTGTGTACTATGGAAACTTTTCTAATGCGCCTGGCCAGTTTAGAAGCACTTATTTTCATAAAGGATTCCTGACATTATAAAGATTTATTTCAATGAATGGAAAAACAACAACAAAAACAGCGGGATTATGCATGAGTCAAGTGTTCTTTTCTGCACTACCTTTTTTCCTCACTCTGGCCTTTTCACTGAGTTTTGGTTGGACTGAGTACTCAAAAGAACATAGAATCTGAAGAAATTGAAATAGCACTGTTAAGAACAAATGTCTGAATTTAGGGTGTGACTGCATTAGATATGGTGTTTAGTCTGACTGAAAAAATAATCATTGAGAAGATCATTGCCTTTTCATATATTTGGAGATTGTATTTAAAATGATTCCAAAATTAAGTAGCTGTGTAGTAAGGGAGAGCCTGGGACACCAAATATCTGCTTATATCCAGCTGCTGTGCAATGCATTTGGCTTTACCTGGAATGGCAGCAGAATGGTGTTGAGGTCTCATGTGAGAAGGATTCGGAAATGCATTTGTTAATTTACTTAAGTCTGATGGTTAATGCTTCCAAACACACCCCACTTCACCTTAAGAAACCACGGTTTCCTTAAAATTTTGGTTTCACTAAATAATTTTTTAGTGACTAATGGATTGGTTGTACTGACGGACTATTGGCTCAATGTTAACCAGCAGTGTGGCCAAGAAGGTCAATGGCATCCTGGCTTGTATCAAAAATGGTGTGGTGAGCAGGACTAGAAAAGTAATCCTGCCCCTGTGGTTGGCATTGGTGAGGCATCACCTTGAGTACTATGTTCAGTTTTGGGCACCTCGGTACAGAAAGGTCATTAAGGGCAACAAAGCTCATGAAAGACTTGGAGAATATGCCCTATGAGGAGAGTCTGAAGGAACTGGGGCTGTTTCGAGACTTTATTGCTCTCTTCCAGTATCTGAAGGGTGCTTACCTGTGCTTACAGTGAGAACGAGGTTTGTCTCTTCTCACATGCGACACACAGGACAAGGGGAAATGGCCTCAAGTTGTGCCAGGTAAGTTTAGGTTGGATATCAGGAAAAACTTATTTACAGAAAGGGATGTTAAGCACTGGAATAGACTCCCCAGGGAGGTGGTTGAGTCACCATCCCTGGATGTGTTTAAAAACCGTTTGGATGTGGTGCTCAGGGACGTGGTTTTGTTGTGGGTTGTTAATAGTATGTTTATGTAGTATGATTAGGTTGCAGTTAGACTTGATGATCTTTAAGGTCTTTTCCAACCAAGCAATTCTATGATTTTGATTCTATGACTGTTTTCTATGTTCAGACTCAAAATCTGTGGTCAGACAAGTTCAGTTATACAAGAATGGTGAGGCTTTCTAGGATGCTCTGACTCTAAGCTTCTCTTGCCTTCTGAAATGCCTGTTGTCCAATGTCTTCATTCTTCCTTCAGTGTAAAAAATGGACAAGAATATAATATGCTACAGTTTGCTCTTACATGTTGGCCTTCTTTTGTTTTACTTCTTCCCTTTTTCTGAAGTTCTTATCATAATCAGCATAAAGTGTTTCATGTAAAGCAATTATCACTTTGGAGGACTCTATGAAAGTCAATTACTCTGCAGTTAAAAATGTGTATGAGAAGTGTCTTTCTTACCGATTCACTGTCAGAGATGGAAGATAGTCGCCTTTTTCCTTTCTGCAGCCCACCTGAGCCAGTCTCAGAAGATTGGCTGGTTATTGTGGTTCGTCTGGAGGAGCGAGAACTGCTGAAGGATCGGGACTCTTTAGGAGAAACTCTCAGCAGGGATCCAAGGCAGGGAACATATGTTGCAATGGCTGTTCTAATGGAAAGGAGGTAGAACAAGTCAGATTTTTTTAATGTTAGCATAAAAATTCAGGCATCATACGCAGTGCATTTATTCAGAGAGATAGACTAATGCTGCATGGACTGGAAAATTACTGGTACAATAAAGGGTTTTCCAGATATCAGTGTCTTGTAAACAATTGCCCTTCAATATCACTTATTAATAGTGGTCCATAGAATTTAAATGCTTTACTTGGCAGGGGTGAGGGCATTAAAGAATAGCTCTTTGAACTGAAGGGACCTATTAAAATATTTTATCTGCTTTCAGCTTAATCAGGTCAAAAATAAAATTCTGTTCTTTCAACTGAACCTTGCAGAAGTACCACATAATAAATTGTTTTAATCTGCCCCTAAGCAGCTATTCTGGCCTCCTTTAGCACATCTGTCTGCCTGCTATCTGTAGGGTAGTACAAAGGCAGCTATATTACAGAATTCTTTTTCTCATATGCAGCATAAGGAAACTCTTTTGCACAGCTTTTCTCTCCCTCCCAGTCATCCCACTTAGAAGTCCATGCCCACCCTTCTGTCAAATTATCTTGTAGGTCTGTGTAAAGAATGAAACAGCATATGTGTGGCTTTGCTGCCATCCATCAGATTCCATGGCCTGCATCTGAACTTGGTATGGTTATGTGTAGATGTTACAGCTCAGAAGAAATGCTATCTGAATTAAGGAAGCATGAAGAAGAGTGAGGAAGATGCACAAAATAGGGAAGGAGTAACTTGACTTACTGGATTGCATTCCTTGGTGGCCTGGTTAATTTAACAAACTGCTATTTCTAATGCTGACAGATGTCTGGATCTCTCTTGAAGACAGTTAAATTTACAATGATTTCCTCTGAGCTAGGAAGGTCTCTATCTTCTATCACGTGATCTGTAAGTACAGATCAGCATTCCATAAACATCTCTAGCTCCCATCTGCACAGTAAACTGTTCCAAGTACAAATTCTACTGACATTTTTATGGCACTGAGAAGTTTGCTTGAAGAGGAGGAGGTTGTCTTGCAAAGGTAAAATGAACAGATGAGTGAGAGTTTGGTTACTAGTCCCTTAAGTGATAAATCTACTGCCTGATATTCTCTGCTACATTAAATTTATTTTACAAGAATGAACTTACCTATATTTAGGGTGAGTGATGGCATAAATAATGGGGTTATGGATGGCAGAAGCTTTGGCAATCACAGCTGGTATTGAATTCATGAAGGGTGTTAGAACATGAGAATACCTAGAGTAATGCAGATACATAATCCATTTAGTGTATATACAGTACATGTTTAGTACTGAGTTCTCAAAAGTCTCAGCATTTATAAGCTGACAACACAGTGTGTTGTTATTGCTCCACAGAATGTAACAAGGGGATGTTCTCTACTCAAACAAAGAGAGAGAAAAGTTATACATCCTTTTCCTGCAAAGATGCACTCTAGCCTAATTGGGGAAACACAATTTTTGTGATGCTTCTCTTGCAGTACTGCTATGATTCAGTGATAACCCCTGTGCTATTTACCCTAGAGACAAAGTCTGCCTGCAGTAAATGAATGCGTGTTCATCAGAGTATCTGTTTCAAACTCAGCAGATGTACTTGCTAAATAACCCATCACTAAATATGTCACTAAATGAGTGTGCAGAGTGAGGCATTACAGGAAAGATATGTGATCAGTTCTGCTTTTCAAATTTTTTGCCTGATCTGAACTAAAATCAGGAGGGAATGGGTCTTATGATGACATACACTTCACTTGTGTTATTGTGGCCATGCATATATGCAGGTTTTGTGCCCTTAAGGGATACAGCAATCATGACTGATGTCTATCTGCCGTGTTCCTTTCAGCCATTTAATCTGAAGATACTTTGAAGGAGCCCATAGAGTCTTGTCAGAAGAAGGTCAGGAGAGCTTCTCAAACCAAAATAACACATTCTGTAGGCAGTTTCTATCAGGCAGGTTCTCCATGGGTCTGATTAGGAGCTAAGAAGAACTCAGATTGGTAGAAAGGGTTAAGTAAAATGACTCATTAGTCTAAGTTAGCATCCTTTCTTTATGACACCTCTATTTTCTGAGACAGCAGTTTAACCTCCATCTTTAACTGACCTATTTAGCATTGTGTTCCTGCTTGTACTCCTAATATACTCAAGGAATTTCTTTAAAAAAAAAAAAAAAAAAAAAAAAAAAAGCTGAATGAAGCTGTATTGTTTACTTGCTGCCCTTGTGAGAAAAATTTGCAAATGCTCACTTGACAGGTGCTGTACAGTTATAAAACTGTCCATTTGTTTTGATTTTAGTCAACAGGAAACATAGGCTAGAAGTCAAGTTCAGCAGGCACTTGATCATGCTGAAGTAGATACTGAATCATACAGAACAACCTGGCAGTTCTGTGCAGCTAGAATGCTTAGCTTAAAGCATTTTCTATTGTTTTCAGTTCACTTGCAGCAAGCAGTGATGTAAGGCAGCTATGATTCATTTTTTATCTTCACACTTTTCTTCTATCTCTAGTGGTCTCATATCACCAGTGGTAAATGCCCAATACCTAAGTCCCCTGTGACAGGACATGGGACTCTGGAGTTGGACGTATTCTAAGGATTTGAGTTTCTGAGTGAGGAGACTTTGTGGAGAAAAAGTTTGCTGCTGCTTGGAATTGGCTCTGTGGGTGCCATAGGAGAACGTTCTCCTAGCAAATTTTCATCTTAAGCATTTTGGTGCTAAATAAAATTCGGATGGATCAAATATGCTGTCACAGAGCATGCATTCAGGAATCATCAGCATTGTTTCTTATGTTGAAAGTAATAAACTTCCTACTACTGGTTTTTTTTCCCTTGAAAAGTCAAACTTAAGAAAAAATCACAGTGTGTGCCTTATTTGTTAAATGTCACTCCAAAATAGGTTAATGTTTGGAATGCACTTCAGGCATTAGGGTTGACAAGTAGCTTTGGCTTTCATCTGTCTTTCCCAACAGCACACCCTCATTTGCTGGTACATTCATAATTACCCAGCAAAAGCTACCAGAGCAACGACAGAGTATGGTGACCAGGAAATGACATAAAGCAAGATGACGATCAGTGCAATTTTAGCCAACTTCCACTCATTCTTCATCCGATGATACTGTTTCTGGAGATCTTTGTTTCCATGTTTGCATCCAAATGTCTGTATAGACCTAGGGGAAGTAAATGTGTAACAGCAAAATTGAGATAGGGAATTGCAGCGATTACTCTTATGCTAGTTTATGTGATAACTCATGTACTTTTAATGTGTGTCACTATGTGACCAGTCCCTTGCAATTTGGTGTACTTCAGCTGCACTAATCAAGGACAAAATGTAGGGGGGAAAAAATAGTCCCATGCTAGAAGAGTTTCAACATAAATCAGGTATTCCATTTAATTGGAAAATACATAATATAACTAGAGAAGTATTTGTTTCCCTATATCTGATTGTTGTACTTTACTGTCGGTCTGCATTTTCTACTGTGCTGATAGTTACAAGACAGATATCTAAGAATAGTGGCAAACACTGGCCTGTATGATAGTTTTTGTTTAGAGACGTGTGATTATTTTTATTTTCTCTTTACTCATTGTGAAACATGGTGTTTGCAGTTGATTTCATTTTTTTTCCATGGAATAGCTTTTATGTACTGTTATTGGACATATTAAATAGACAAATGATATCCATTTAGTATTGCTTTTCACAATTGGTTAATTTCTATAGTCCTTTCACATCCTTCAGATTTCTCAGGTTGCTACTTGTACCATTTTCTGTATCATTAGCAAGTATACTGAACAGCTCTGGCATAAATTCAGAGCCCTGAATGGCTCTTCTAAGGATCATAATTCTTACATGTTGACAGAATTCTTACTTGGTTTCTTATCACAGTTATATACTGGAACTGAAAAACTTTCCAATTTTCTTTTGTCAGTCTGTTTTAAGAAAAGAAAAAAAAAAGCCATTTAAACAAAGAAATAAAAACTTAAGACTTCTAATTACTTACTTGTTGGCCTTCTTGATAGCCTCAAATATAAAGAAATAGCTGTATATGATAGCAATCAAAGGAATGAAGAAGACAAAGCAGAAAAGCAGCATTGTGTAGGCACGGACTGATGGTGTGAAAGTCATGTAATCCCAGGAACAGGAAGTCAGCAGGCCTTCAGGAACATAGGCACCTAAAGACAGGAGAAGATATCAACCACAATGTGATTCTTACCAGTATCTTGAATGCAGGAGTTAGGGAAAGATACTCAGAATAACATGAGATGAGATCTGAAAACTGAATCATTTTGTTCCAATCCTTGAATATAACTTTAAGCTCAACATAGTCAAAGTGCATCTCTCCAAATACTTCAGTGGGTCTTTCATCAGACCCACACTGTTTTCATTTAAGTCCAGATTCGCTCAAATTGCTTCTTCCCATGCAGTGAAATGAAACTGATTGCTTTAACTGCCTCTTTTTAGAACTTCTACATATTAATCTATTCTGCAAAGGGGAGAGCTATGTTGTGTAGGTCAAATTAATTTTGTCACGAAAGAAAGTTGAGTACATGTAGAAATAAAATATAATTTCCTTGGAGAAACTGTCAAACAACTAAAGACACTCTTAACGGCAACATATTTCTCCTTTTATTTCAATTTTCACTGTTTACAGTGATATTTTCTGCTGAACTTTTAAAAATAGCATACCAGATGTTCTCAGATGCATCCAATTTTTATATGAAGGTTAGTAGTGTGGATCCTATTGGAATCTAATTATAAGATAATGACTTAACACATTTCAAGTTAGTATTCTGCCTTCTCCCAGTAAAATTCCAGAATCTAAGACTGTATTGTCATTTTGTTCTTCTAACCCTGCCTCATTCAACTTAAGGCTGCTTTCCCAAGCACTGAGGATTGGCTAGTTAAACATGCCTCATATTGAAGGCAGACACAACAGGCAGTAGCAAGTCAAAAACAAACATCTTCTAAAATTCAACTTTGTAATCTTTTTTTTTTTTTTTTTTCAGCATTCTTTGGGGAAAACAAAACATTGCTAAATTCTCTCCTCAGCTGAGCTGACACATTCTGTTCTGGAATTAGGGAACAAAATAATGGGCTGGAGTTTTGAATGATGAGCTCATTCTAACTTACTGACTGAAACTTGGTGACTCATAGGAAACAAATTAATGTTACTGAGTTGGATGCAAATGAGGAATAATAACAGGAGCTCTCTTTGCTACAAGTGGCAGTGATCAAATGTGTGTTCCAATTTGCAAACAAAAAACTTACAAAAGCAAATTGTATCGTTGTTACTAAATGCCACTCCTAGCAGAATCCCCAGTGAAGATACTAAAGTCTGAATGGACAATGCAGCTGATATCCAGTGCCATTTGCACATCTAGAATACAATCAAGACCTACTGAAGATGTACTTCAACAAAATATTCACGGAATATTCTAAGGAATAGACTGTATTCCTCTATTACATGAATGAAGGCATTTAAATTGCCACCACTCATACACAGCACCTTTGGGGAAGAAAAAAATATGAGAAAAAATAAAAACTTATTTATTTCACTTTTATATTGTTCAGTTTGGCTCAACAGAAGTAGATATGGGAAAATAGGCAAGTTCATCATTTCATAAATTTTGGCCTTTATTTTATCTACTATTCTTTGTACAATAAGTAATAAGTTCAAGGAAAAATGCCAGTGTGATGTAAGTTGCTCTTATTCAAATTGTACTTTTTCTTCAGATTGAGGCCTTCAGTTTCAGTATGTATCTTATCAATTTTCCTAAGACAGGTTTTTGAGGCTTAATATGCAAGCCATTCATTTACCCATCTCTTATAAATGTAACAGTCCAGTTTTTAGTCCAATGTTATAAGGGAAAAAAACTTGTATTCCATTTCACTTACTCCATCCAAAGAAGGGTGGGAGGCTCCAAGCCAAAGAGTACAGCCAGACGCCTACCAGGATTATAAGGGCCTTCTTCTTAGACATCACTCGAACAGAAGCCAGAGGTTTTGTGATGACAAAGTATCTGTCCAAGGCAATCACCATCAAAGTGATCATAGATGTAATGCCAAAAAGAGCTCCGCAGAAGGCATACAGCTCACAGCCTTTCAATGAAGATGACAGAAGTAGCAGTGAAATTAATCTACTCGTGCTAATTAATTTATAGGAGACTCAACTCTGTGTTTCCTGTAAGCTAATGTCTTCTGGGATTCATAAACCGATGGAATTTCAGTTTTCCAGTATTGTAATGTAATACTATTTCAAAGCTACTGTTTATCTTGCTAATTATATTTTCACTCACTGATTTATGATGTTCCTAGTAGAAATTTTTCAACAGTCCCATGATATCTTGCTTAACTCCAGTTTTACTGAAGTTCCCTTAAAAACATCTATTTTGTTCAACGATGCCTTCTAGCTACTTTGATGTCATGGTATCATTTGTATCTCAAGGTCAGCATAATTGTGGTAGCTATTCAGACTATGAATATATTCATAAGTAATTTTAACAAGTCAAGCATCATCATGATTAAAAGCTGAGGGTTGTGTTTTTTATTTCTTAACGTGTGCAACTGAGCACTTTATTGAAGTAGGAAAAACAGCCATTCTTTTGGTCATCAGGGATCAAAACAGCCATGTTATTTCTCTGATATCCCTCTCTGTCCATACCTATTCAAGAAGCAAAGACTAGTCATCTTCTTACTATAGTTATAAAAGTATGAAAGCAGTTCCCTTCTACAGGATTTTTTTATACATTATTGATTGTGGACTCCTTAGGAGTGAGTTTTCTCCTTAGATTTGCACACCTCTTAGGCCAAAGGTGAAAATCCCGCTGTTGAAGCCTGCAGCAGATGTGCTGTTGGCTTCAGTCACATGTTTCACCTGCAGTTTGAGAATCTTTTGAAGAAATACTGCCTTCTACCTGCTAGAACAGAGGTTTTGTTTTAGGTTCCTTCCTTGGATATTGACTATTTAGATTGTAAAATTATTTGGACAGAAATTGAGGTTCATTTTTTCCTAAGTATTTCTGCAATTTTATAGCACATTGAAGTTAATTACTCTTGTAGTTGCAATGACCAGATGTCTTCTGCAAATCATGTTAACACAAACTCCCACAAGAACTTTTGCTTACTGTGCAGGCATATTCGGTTAATATTTCTGTTGAGAAAACTCACTGTTGCCAAGCTTTCTGGTTGCTAGTCTCTGAGCAGATTATCTAGAGCTGCTATTAAGTTGGTGATTTGCTAGTTGGTGGTTCCTTGTCACAGGGCTCTACCAGTAGTTACCTTACAAGATGATTGGGAAATAACACTGGCAAGGAGACTGGTCCTCTGTATTAGATTGCCGGAATCTCCTTTGTATCTTGTGTGTGTAATTTTCTTCTTTGTGTTGGGAATGTAATTGTTGCACAGGGACAAAAATGTTCAGGGAAACTTTGGTTTTAATACTGAAGCAATGTTGAAAATTGCAAGTGTACCTGAAGATTAGGAAATGGGTAGTTAACTGCCACTACAGTAGGACAATACTTAGTGATTTATTGGAAAGTAGATATACAAACCTTTCTCACCAAAAATCCAACGTTTATGGAGACTGTTGGTGAAAAATACTGGAGACTGTGTGATGGACATAAGGAAGTCACTAACAGCTAGATTGATGATGAATATATTGGCTGGTTTCTGAAGGGTCCTACTCCTACAAAGAAAAGATAGAAGGAATGTTTCTTAGACAGTGTGGTGCTCTTAATTATGTCATTACTCTTTTCTGTGAGCTTTGGCAACTTCACAAACACCATGGCACTCTACAGAACAAGTTAGGACAGTATGCTTCTCATTTCTCTCCCAAGAGAACATAAGGTTGTTTTACATCCTTATCCTGCTGTGCATTTTAGAGGACTGTTTTGATAACCAGCTCAGTGGTGGGGATAAATCACATTGTTCCTTAAGTACTCTGACCCAGTGCACTGCATGTCCGTGATTAACAGGAAATTAAAGCTGATGTGTTCCATGGATTTGCTGGATCTGGGTCGTGTTAAGCTGGAGGAGGGATAGTGCATATCTCCATGCTGGTGATCTTATCAGCAACGACTTACAAATACAGGGATTAAGCAAACTTGCTGTGTACCGCATCAAGCATTTTGTTTCACATCAGTTCTTCCCTGTGACATTCATTTCATTTGTACATACACTGACTTTGAAGAGGATGGTAGCCAGCCTTCAGTGTATTCTGCCTACATATGTTATTCATAACATCATAGTACAATACTTTAAAGGTACACAGAGAAGCTGAATTGAGAGCTCCTTTGTTCGTGGCTTAGTGTAAGTTTTTAGCTCCTTTCTCAAAACTTTGGTCTTAGGCAAAAATATAAAGTATCTGAATAAATGATCAGTCCTTTGTACTGATCCAGAATCAGTGAGTAAATATACTGTCCCCTGAATGTCAATTTGGGGGCAACAAGATATTTTTAGTAGATACTTAGGGGTGCTTGTTTTTGTCCAGTAATCTGCTAAGTTGCTGAACAAATCTCTATTTCAGATACCTGGCTGTCTTAGACTTTTGTGACTTTTTGAGACTGTTTTGTAGGCATCTGACGTGTAGTCTGAACTTCTGATGCACTTATTATTTTTCTTTCAATGCCCCTTTTTATCTTCATAACATCTTCAATAAAGACAGGCTGTCTCTCTCACTAGAAATGCAACTGGCTGGATTTGCTGTATGGCTGGATTTGCTGTATGGGACCAGCCAAAGTGCTAAGCTAGGTCACTTACTTCACTCTTGTCTCATGTATCTGGTCTGCACGCCAACCTGATCTGCTCTTAAGGCCGTGTCGTTCACACTGAAACGTTGGTATCTGCTCTGAACGCACACACTGTATGTAGCAGAAAACGTGAGATCACCTTTTTAACCTTCTAGATAAATGCACTAGATTAATACAAGCTCAAGAGCCTCATTAGTTAGGTTCTCACTCCTGTGATTCAAGTTAACCCAGTCAAATTGTCATATAGCTTTTATTTTTTATGTTTATTACAGTAATGCATAATGGTCAATCATGAAGGAGAGGCTCACTGGTCTAAACATCATGGCAATGCTCTGTCAGTGTTCATTGAACAGAAAGAAACAGTGTGAATAAAAAAAAAAAAAAGGTGAAAAAATCACATTGTTATCATTGATCAGATTACTTTCAGATATAAAAGTTGGGATGTGGTTTTAGTTAGGAAATAAGCCAAGTATTAGAAAATGTGAAAATGAAAGTCAGTTCCAGTAGGGAACAGGGGGGCAGAGCAACTACAAAGTAGATAGCAGGAGGAAAGAAGCACCTAAAATACAGATGATAAATGAGAGAGAAGCAAAACATCACATCAGCCCAGTGCAGAAGCTCAACCAATAACAAAAATATTTCTGTAAGTTTTCTGCTATGGTGTGTTTCCATTGCTTGGCATATCTGGGTGAGTCTTTGCAATGTTGCTAATGGACCACAGTTAATGAGAAGTCAGAAAAGTCAGGTTGCCACTTAGTGTCTTAAAGCAATGTTTCTTCATGCATTTAGAGTGATAGCATGTCTGCACTGCATACAGAGTGCAGTCATGTTGATGTTAAAGTTCATCTCAGTATTTAGAAAAATATGCAAAACAAGATACCTGCAGAAAGCATAGATGACCAGGAAATTACCCAGAGTTCCTGTGATCCCCACGATAAGAATGACTGTTCCAATTGTATAGTGGGCATGGTCTGGGACATCCACTGTAGGAAAAGCACTACGAACATCTTTCACTGTCATCTTCTACAAAGCAAACAAAAGTCATAGGTAGATTGTCAGACTTTGGTGAGTAAGTTGGCATCAGAATAAGCTAATTACTTTCAAATTACGTTTACGGTTGATCATCTTCGGGAGCCACATATACACCATCAGAAGCACACAGGTCAAACAGTACTCTATGCTTTTCCTGTGGATTGAGAATTTTAATGAAGAAAAGCAGTTTATTCCCTCCCAAAAGAAAATGAAAGATATAGAAGAGAACTAGAGATATGAAGGGACCTTTTTTATTTCATCTGACATCAATAATGCAGTACCTAACAAGAATATTTTCTGCGGTTTTCATGTCATTAAAGTTTCTGTACCCATGAAGTGTGATCTCTGTTCTGACAACAGTATCTTCTCTAAATAGAATTGATGGATAACTGTCTATTGACAAATGTGCATTTAATCCTTTATGGGATTAAAGGTATATGGGTAAAATGTTGATTATTCAGTGAGAGAAATGAAATAACCACATTGCTAGCTGCCCTCAAGGCTTAGTTACTAAAAGCCTGTCAGTTGGTAAAAGACTGAGCAGCTGTCTGGTGGAAACTACATTAATGATTGGAAAACTTTAAACAGGAAAATTTTCTAGTTTGCACCTTTTTTACATATCAGTTTTATTTTCACTCTGGACTGAGTGAAGGTATTTTGCTTTTTGTGATAATTGTGGTTTAAGCACTTGAAAGCGCGTGGATCTTATCTACTAATAACTTGTGGCAAAATTCACTAGGTAAGTCTGGAGACTTCAGCACTTCAAATAATAGTTTAGAATGTTTTCTTAGTAAGTTTCAGGAGCTACAAACACTTTTTAGACCAAATGACCCCATCTTAGTAATGAGGTGAACAAGAAGTCTGCAGCCAGGAAGCAGGACGACCTAACAAAAATGGTAAAGGACGTGCAAACTGTCACTGTTCTGCTGCCTTTTCTTGTGAAGTCAGGCAAGGAGATTTAAACACACACCTCTGTGTGTGCTGCCCTTGTCCTAAACATGCTTTGGCACCAGCTCCAATCAGTGAATGTAGCTGTGACAAACACAAAGCCCCATCCTCATTCTTCTGCACAGATAGATCCTGTCTCTTCTTCATTGCTGGGTTTTTCTCATCATAGGTGGCACTCACTCTGGAATGGCATGCCATGGCCACCACACCTAATTCAAATCTGTCAGCAGCAGCCATGGCATTCCTCAGCTACTGAGCTACAGGAATCATGCCATGTCAATAAAGCCCAGCAGATATCTTGAATGGCTTATATTTTTCCTACTGTGAGTATCATCAGTCTGGCTGTGGCTGAGGATCCAGGGAAAGGCACCAAAGTCTGTGTCTGTACTGAGCGTAAATAATGCTATGAGGCTGGATGTGCTGTTTCCCAGAACAAGTACTGAGAGGTGGTGTTACAGCTAACACATTCAGTTATTCCTTCCCAGGAAGAGGAAGGTTGCTGGTAGGAAAGTGGAAAGCAGTGGATATATGTATTAAATTCTTACTTTATGCTCCCATTGTGTCAACTGCTGGCATTCACTGCTAGAATGAACTCAGGAATGCCTTCAACAACACTCCTGTTATTAAAGGACCCTGGTGTTTCCAGACAATAAAGGCAGACATTACTTATAAATAGATCTCTGAGATTGGATTGAAATTATAAGAGACAGTTTGCATTTAAAACCAATGTGCCGGTAGCAAAAGCTAAACCCCAGGAGAGTCTGAAATTGTACAAAAGATTGTCTTTGACTGTGAGTTGGAGATCTGCCCGTGGCAATCCTCAACAAGAGGAATGTGCTCCCTGAGTTTCTTTATTAGCAGGGATGAAATGCTGGACAAATAGTAGAGACTGAAAATGTAGCTCTGGCTGTTACTGTAATTGGAGCAAAATGTTATGATTGTATTAAAGCTGATATAATAACTGAGAGACAGAATCATGATGTTTTTTTGTTCAGGTTCCTTCAGCAAGTTGGCTTCACGTAAAAATCAGTGGGCATCTTGCCCGTGTAGATAGATATTTGTTTATTTAACACACTGTCAGTAAGGTAACACAAAATCCCACACTAATAGCAAGTGGAGTGGGATAGTCTGAGATAAAACTCTTTTAATTAAATTAGACCAGGTGTTCTTTGGTTTAGGTTTATTTATTTTTTATTTCTGTAGCTTTATGGATGCTGCTCCGCAGAGAGTGAATCATGATCACTAATGTAATGGAGATTTCTGATATTTTCCACTATAGCTATCCATTTAATCAAGGTAACAGAAATGAAGCAACTAAAGGAGCTTGTTTTGGCTACAAAAAGCAGATTTGAAATGGCTGTAATTTAAATTAAATTTGTGGGAGACAAAGGACAAGAAACAATTTGAAGGATAGATTTGGATGTAGAAAAAAAAAAATAGTGGAAAAGGTTGTTTATGGGACAGTAGAAGACATCAAAACTACTTATTGGGGAATGAAACAAGTGTAGAGACAATAAAAATGTCAAATGTGAAAAAAATAAATGTGTAATATTTGTAATTGAGCATTGGTAGGACATAATACCAAGTAGACGGAGAAAGAAAGGGATTGGCAAAGAGGAGTAAATTCACATTCTAGTGTGGACTTCCTGGAGATGGCTTATTTTCACCACAGAGTCCAGTTCTTGCTGTTTGCTAAGAAAAAACTCCGTTATTTAAAGAAAAAAAAAAAAAAAAAAAAAGTAATTTAACTCTTTATTAGAAAGACAGGTCTGATTCAAAGCTTCTTGAAGACAAAGAAAGGTGCTAGCTGACCCAAAGGCATTAGATCAGACCTAAGCACTTCAAATTCATCACTGAGTTGCACACGTTACCTTCCTTACTAGAAGATGAAAACACTTGCCTGTCTCCATCACCTCTAGGTGTTATAAGGGGAAAAAGGTAATGCTTGAGGAAATCAGGACAGCAGCCTAATCAAGAAATCAGACAATTCTCAAAGCTTTTCTCTGTTTAGCCTTGTTTAGTCTGTCTTCTGTTGTCACCCTATGGTATTAGTACTTGGGTGGCATAAGAGAACTAAAATCACACCTTTGCAATCCCTGCCATAGCAATTGTCCTTTGAGAATGCTCCATCTGAACAACTATTTCAATTGCATTGATATCCCAGAACATGATTATCTTGCCTGTTCTTCTGTTTAGCCTGCTTTCTGTATGCACTTACGTAGTGAAAATGCTAAGTCACAACTTGAAACAGTGATTGAGCACCTGGTGAGAAGACAGGGCCAACCCAGGGGAGCTCAGCTGCATCCAATACACCTGAGTGACCAGAAGGGATAAAGCCAGGATCCACTCCTTCCTAGACCTCATTTAAGTGTTGGCAGTGGAGGTGAGGGTGTCGCTATAGAGATTCCTGTCCACCTGTGGCCTTCTGAAGGTAAGCAGCTTTTCTTCCTTTATTTCTGTATCTATGGCTGCTGCATTTGCATTTGTTCTTATTTGCTGTAGCCTAGGATTGTGCTGCTCTGCTATTGTTGATGAACTTTCCATCGCATTTTAGCATTTCAGCATTACAACACTGTAATGAAGATTAAAAGAAATGAACAGGCAGAACCAGTACTACATTATTTCTCTTCTAAGTGATACGAAAACACAGCTTGTTTTGTGTAACATGGTTCAAAACAGCACCAGATGAACGAAGAAGTAGAACTGGGAAGAAGTTGGATGCTTTACTGTAGTCAGTTAATACACTACATCTTTCTTGAGTCAACTAATAGAGATACTTGTATCTGAGGCTCTGGACCACTGGGTGCCAGTATACCCACAGGCATACTGCGTTGTGGGTGGCTTAAATTGGTATTAATTCTGTAGAAAACAATTTACTGAGAAGCACCAGTTTCCTGGCAGTCCGCTTAAATATTGCACACTTCTTAAGTGAGCAGAAAAAATGGTAGCTTGAGAAACTGTGGAAGATGTTAGAGGAGTAACTGAAATGTTACACAATATCTTCACAGTAAGTAGGGTCAGTTTGAGAACATATCTTAATGCCAAGGATGGCATTTTAAGTCTCCCTTAAAAGCAGGTTTTATAATTTGTTTAGATATGATGAAGCCTGGCCTTTTGAAAGAGCTGTAAAATAATTAATCTCTGATAGGCAAGCCATTTATTATTTATTTGCACTATAGTTTTGAAGAATCAAACCATCTGTGTGAGAACATTGTCCAAATGTATCTTGGGCTCCATCAATCTTGGTGCCATGACTGCTGCCCTGGGAAGTCTGAGTGCATAATGAACAGTGATATGAGAATTCCCTTCCCACTCTTAGCAGTTGGTTTGTATCCTAAAACAGAGTTGTTATCCCTTTGAAAAGATAATCTTAATGGAGGATATTTTTATCCCTCGTATATAGGTGTAATCCTTTCCTAAATCTGACTCTGCCATTTGCCTTAAGAGTCAGTGGCAGCAAGTTATGAAGGTTGCTGCACATCAGTATATTTTCTTCCATCATGTTTAAGTGTGTCCTTGTGGAGGCAGTAGAAGAAGTAGAAGAAGGGGGAAACAACTACGTTTAATGCAGTCTTCCTTCTTGAAATGTTTTATGTTCTCCCTGAAAGAAAGCTTGTATATTGCCTATAACAAAATGGCTATTGTAGAACTGGACATACTGTCAGCTATCATTCAGTAAACTTCAGCCTTAATGTATGGCAGTTTGTGTAGTGTGTCAGAACCATACAAGATGCTGGTCTAAAGAGAGTTGTAAGGAAATAAGAAATTTTGCTTTCCAGGGCGAAACCGCTGACTCTAAGTGTTTTGCCCCTGTTAAAAGGAAGTCCAGACCAAAAATATTTGATGCCTTCATTTGCTTTATCTTGGAAATGTGTTTATTATACACATTTTCCTAAAGAGAAGGTTTTCTAAGTAGCTATTTCAAAGTTGTTAAACAAACAAAACAATACCAGCTCACTTTTGAGTAAGTTTCACTTAAAGATGTACAGTTTTTAAAAGTCCTAGTGTTCTCCCTGCTTCCACGACTTGAGGAAAACATTTTTGTGTAAGTGGAAAAAAATGAGTGGAATTTGTGTAAGTGGAAAAAATTGCACAGAATACACTGTACTACTGAGGGAAAGAAAGAAAGAAAAAAAATAAAAGCACACCCGTAGTTCTTCAGAGTAAGAACTACACTCTTTTGAGACACCTTGATAACTGAAGTTCTAGTAAAGCTAAGAGTGATGATAGTAGGAGCAAGGCCACAGGTGTAAGTATTTATATAAATATCGTATTTGATGTAGCCCACTCCTCACTTTCTTCCAAAGGCAAGATTGTGAAGTAATGTTTAGTTTGCAGGGAAATGAGAAATCCTCTTAGGAGGATTTTGGGATTTGAACATATCTCAATCTTGGTTCTAAATGATTAGTTGACTTCTTTGCTTGTTTGTTTCAAAAACTGGGAACAGAAAAGATTTAGATAAGGGCATTTTCCAGCTACTCTTGCCTGGATGCCAGATGGATTATATCTAATTCAGTGTAAAACAGGGAAGAAGAAATAGGGACTGCTATGTTGTTCTTAGGGATTCATCTAGCTTCCACACTGTAGTCACTGATTTTGCAGAATGGCTGCTTTAATGGAACAGAGCCCCGTTCTGAAACAGAAGTTTTGGCAGTCTCGTGTTGACTTTGGTAATGTATCAGGTCTCTTTGTTCTTTATTTTCCTACTAGAGTATAAGTGATGAAGTTGCTTATTTATACATTACCACTGATTGTGTAAACCATAATGTTAAGCCTTTTGCAGTACAACAAATTATACAGATAGAGAAAATTATCAGAACAGAAATACAGTAATTTCCTAGAGTTTCTAGGTGCAGTTTTTGTTCTACCTACCGGAAGCTTCAAATAACTGATAGCACTTATTTTCTTCACAGTTTCTTGCTCTAATTCCTGAGTTTGCTTCTAGTGGCACCTTCTTCAGTGATGACAGACAGAACAAAGAGAAGTGTAAGCAATCCCACTTCAATTATGGGTTCAGCAGGATGACGCCAAATGCTAAGCCCTCTTTCCAGTAGGCAGCAGGGCTTTCCATGTTTGTTCCTTTAGAGCAATTTGAAAAGCAGATTTTGTATCCGGTCTTCCAGATTTAATCTCAACCACAGGCAGCACATACTGCTTTCAGTTCTGAAGCTCCCTTAAACCAATCTTTGTGTGTAATTAAAATGCAGAAGTTTGAAAATACTTGACTTAAGGGGAGGGAATAGACAGCTGATTTCCTCTTCCAGCAGAATAAGGACAAAATTCATTTTGAATTTTTGAGTGTGAATCACTCTGTCCCCAGAATCCTTTTCCATTTTGCCATGTGCTCTCCAGTCCCAGTTATCCCTCCCTGCTTTGTTCTGCTATCCTCTTTCATTATGTTATCCATCTAATTCAGTTTCTAAGCGCCTTGGCTCAGGATGCTTCTTTGTTCATTTTCCTGTATTATACGACGCATATCCAGCTTTTATTAAAAATAAACACTGCATTTTTACTGTGCAAATAATAAAATATTTACTGCTGCTTCAGTATAAATTAGGGTCAAGCTGCAACATCAGGTCCAACATGCTCTGTGTATTAAAAACTGGCTTATGTGGGTCATGCCAAAATACCTGGTGAGACAGCATCAATATTTTACATAGAAATTCAGATTTCAAAAACTTCAGAAATTGCTTGGATATCTTTTTCTTTTTAACAGACTTCTGTACAAACAGAATGCAACCCAATAGTATACTGAGTTACACAACCAAGAAGAGGTTTCTGAACTCTTTCTGTTTGGGCTTGTGATACAGAATATTTTTAGAAAGCCCCAAGAAGTTCTGTCATGAGGAGTCATTATAACAGAACTCCACCTTCACACTTTTAAGGAGAGCTCTTTGGTAGAACTTACCTGGAGAAACCTTCTGAAAAGCTTTGGTAATAGCAAGTAACAACTCTTCAGCATTTACATAATCACTTTGCTGCACTTACAGGCTATTATAGAAATGATAGGGATTTCCATTTTGAATAATAACACAAGCAAGTGTTGTATTTGAACTATTAACCAACTGTATAACTTAACAAGAACATTCTCTCTTGGTAGTTTATAACATATTCAACACAGTTTTCCATTAAACAATCCTCCCTGTCTTCTGCCCAGGTAAAACTGCTGAAGAACACTGCTTCTACAGTCTTTTCCACAATAAATATAGGAATAAAGAGATTTTAAAGATTTCATTATGTTGTTTAGTATTGCATTATTACATCATTAAATCTATGCATGGACCTTAAGTGTCTATACACAGTTCTATAAGTGCCAGCTTTGCCAGCAGAACTACTTACTACAGCTGTTAGTGAGAGAAAGCACTTACTGTTGGGGCTCTAAGAGGCAGGTCCATCAGTGTGTAGGCAATCGCTCCTGAGTCATTCCATGAGTTGACTCCACAAATTTGGTGCAGATGGAGTCTTCAGAGAGACAAGATATTCCCCCTTTGAACGGGCTGGCAATTTACGCAAATGAAATCTAAGCAATAGCAAAGAAAGCAAAGCTCTCTTCTGATTTTAAGTCAGCCAATTTACCTTTCTGTGTGTGTGTAAAGCAGACTGTCAGATCCTCTGTCTGAAATAGTGCAAGATCTAGTGCAGAATTTCTCACCAGAGCCTCAGCTTGCTTTATTCCATCTTCAGCTTAGCAAAGGGCAGCAGCGGCAGCTTCCATTTAAATACAGAATCCTGCAGGGTCTGCACATGCCCAGTTTGTTGCTTGTTCCATCCAGATTCAGGCTTCATTTCAGTGGCAGTACAAAACTGATGCTCACTTGAAACTGCTGCTGTTTGTTGTTGTTTTGTTTGGGTTTTTTTTTTTTGCCTTTGACAGAGTTATGTCTGAATTTTAATGCTATCTCTACAGTGTGTCTGAACAGGAAGAAGGTAAAAGGCTGACTTCACCAGCTCTCTTAAACATTAGACCTTACTGTTCATTTTCACCATACTGGTGAATTAGGTTTTTGTACTCTGCATTGGAAGAAGATGTATGTGTACAGTTCTGCTGAAACTATCTGAGCTCAAATAGATTCTGATAGTTAACAAAGTGCATGTGTGCACTTCTGTCCTATAGAATTTAGGTTGTGGTTGTTTGTTGGTCCACTTCTAAAAATAAACAGAAAAAAAATTAGAATAAAATCCACTGTCATCATCCTTCTCTTTAGTTGAAAATAAACCAATAACATGCACTGATGCCTTAGGCAAAGTATAACAAATAACTTTTTCAAGAGTTGTTTGCTTTCATTTTTCATTGTGTTTAGTTAGAGCATACATGGGCAGATCCTTATTCACAAAGAACTTCCTTTACACTGCACTGTATATAGTTACGAATAACTCTGTTTCCAACTGAAGGCCATTATAATGGTAAAATTAAGTTTATTCATTAAAAAAAAAAAAACAAACACTGTTCTAGCACACACTGCAGCCTGAGCATGATAGAGTTTAGGCCTTCAGGCCACCGTCAGAATCACCCGAATGCAACATACTAGCTTCACTGCAGTCAGTAATAGATGGTGTGATCTATTTCTGGAGAGCCCCTGTGAGATGGTAGTGATTGCAACTGTGGGAACAGGATTCCCTCTACTCTGTTTGGACTCCCCTTCTTGTGTCCCCTTCCTTCAATTCACACTTGCGTTACCTTACCTTAAATTAAGAGAGAAGGGATTGCATTTCTTTGGATGAACAGGAGGTGTCTTTGGATGAACGCGGATGTACATGACCTGTGTCTTTATCAAAAACACATCCCTGTAGTGCTGCGGATTCCCCTCCATTGGCAGTCATTTAAGGAAGGTAGCATTTATCTTGTATCATCTGCTTACTGTTCAGTGGCCTGACGAAACAAGATAAATGTTACCTGTACAGATTCTGCAGGTTGTTTAGCTGAGAGACTTTAAAATTAACTATCAGTAGATATATTGTGAGAGGCAGAACAATTTCTTTGAATATCACCGTAGTGTTAGATACACCCAAGCTAGGTTTAAACTAGCACACGGGGCAGAACAGAGCTCAGATGTGACCAATCACCTGGCAAGTTTAACTTTGTTGTTGACTGGCATTCTCTGGTCATTTTCTAGGGTATTCTCTTTCCCTCCTGTCGAAGTCTCGCATCGTACCCATGAATATCACTGTGATAGCAGTTGTGGTGTTATGGGATGAACTTCAGAAGTTGATGTGAACTCAGAATCACTGTTTCCTTGCTTTGTCTGCTGCAGCAAGCAAATAGCACACCGCAGCTACAAGGCAGCAAATAACAATGTTAGTCTCCTCGAGGGACAGGACTTTCTGGAAGACAATTTTGTATTTTACTACTACAAAGGTAGGAGTCTTTCCAGAAAGCTACAATATGAAATTGCAACAGCTTGTACTGATATCAAGAGAATAGAGTAGAAAGTACATTTTAATGATTGAAGAGTGGAGAAAGGAAGGAAAATGAGATCTCCCATTTTGAAGAACTATATGTTCAAAGCACTATACTTTATTCTTACCAATTTGACAACAAAATTCAATGGTAGGCATAAATACTAGATCAGAAATATTCTTTGACTCTGTATTCTAATTTTCTTGCTCAAATACTCTTAGTTTTCTTCTTTATGTCTCAGTATTGAGCAATTCCAACATTCAGTCTCTTTGCTTACAGTTTGTACGTTACATTTTCCTTTTAGCTGGGGCATGGGTTACTTTTTTCTCGCTTCTTATTCCATCTTTATGACAAATCAATGCGCTGAAATTTTTTCGTTCCCAGTTAGCCTGGAAACATCCACCTCTTTGGCATTTCTAGAGGTATATCTAATATATCGGCAGAGTAATCAAGTCATGGAGTAAATATTCCTTTATAAAGTAAACCAGACATTATAGAAACGTTGTCTTCTTGCTGCATTAGATTTAACTTTGTTGTACGTGCCTTTCCAGACAAACGAGTTGGATTAGTTCATTAGCTGCTGAGACTCTATTATAAAAATATATGCAGTACAAAGGAAAGTTTCTACCTGTAAGAAGTGGATATTAGTCCAAAGTGAGCTCCTGGTTTCCCATCCTTCCTTCACCTGCAGGGGCTGCTTTTGTGAATGCTAAGCATTGGAAGGCTAGGTTAAATCATTTTTGAAAATCTGACCTTAACAATGACCTTAACCTTAATGCCCAATGGAAATGTCCTCATAAGATTACAGTTTTCTGATCTGGTGTTGTAGCAATTGCTAGAAGCAACTCGGTTGATCTGTTCCATATTCTATGCCTCAGCTTCCTTGGAAGGAGAGCAATTGCATCCTAGAACTGCACAAGGTATGAAGTATGAGGAATCTCATTCTCTGTGTTAAGGCTTGCTAACTGTGGCAAAGACATACAAAAACAAATAACACACACAACTTTTTATTTCAAATTTTTGTCTGTTTTACGTGTGGTATTAAGCCAGAGAGAACAATTAAAAGTAATTTAGTGAGCAATAATTGTTTTCTTTGTAGGTATAGCTATTTCACTTACAGTTATCAGAAACGTAGTCTTACTGATATAGAGGGAGAACTTTGCCCTCTGCCTTTCCCCTGTTTATTCTCCAACAAAAGTTCTTTCCTTGCAAAATGAAATGGAGAAAATGTATCAGTTAATGACTCTTGGTATTTTCTAAAGCCACTCTGCACATCTTAAATTTTTCAAACACTTCCTCCGCAGTCTTGTGTGAATCACAGCGGAAACCCACTTGGCTGCTGGCCCAGGTCTGAATTGCCATGCAGAGTCTGTTCTAGAGAAAATAAAACCTGCCAGAGTTCCTCTCTCTGAATTCTGTCACATTGAGGTATGGTGAGAACATCCCCCCCAGTTTCAAAGCACTTTCAAGTGCACCTTTTGCTACTAGTAATTAACTCCTGTTCATGGCTTTTTATAAGACACAGACAGAAATAGCACAAACACTCTGAGGTCCTACCATGAAATTGAGAAAATTTCCTAATAGAACAAAAGAAAGATAATTCATGGGTAAAGATTAATGAAGTCCAGATGAATACAGTATTTCTTTCACAACCACTGGAAAGGAATGGTTTCCTCCTCTTTGGCTGGGAGATCTGTGTGGAATTAAATTTTTGTTTATCTGCAGGAATTCAGAGTGGACTGGAGGAAAGGGGAACTTGATGCGTAGAAAATGAATAGGCTGCTGTTGGAAAGAGCTAGGATGGTTGGAAGAGCAGGGCTGTCTATAGTCAGCCAGGCATTATATCCCTGAGATGCCTTTACACAAAACCACCTGGGCTTCCTTAAACTCTCCTTATCCAAACCCAGGACAGAGAGACAGGAACAGACCACTCAATAAGGGCAAAGTAAACTCTCACACTTCATGAGTGCAGATACATTTCTGGAATTGGAGATTTCACAGAATAAGAAGGCACAGAGCATGGAAGTTGTACATTTATAAGGCTTACTAACAAGTTATGATTTTTTTAAAAAAAAATTATTTTTATTTTTACCCCTGTTACAATGGGGAAAAACGTGCGATAATGCCTGTAAAACATTCTGGAAATAATAATGCTAAGCTCGATTTCATCTCACAAGTGGAAAATCTAGATGATGGTATGAGAAGAGCATCAAATTCCTTCTTGATTTGTAGAGCTGCCATTTGTCCTTTCTCCAGAGGCCTTTTCTCAGATTGGGGGCCCCCCCCCCCCCCCCAAAAAAAAACCAACAAAAAACAAAACAACCACACCCAAAGAAAGAAACAAAACAGCTGCTTTTTAATGCTTCAAGTACTGTTTTCTTATCCTCAATTAAAAGATCCACCTCATCCTCCTCAGCAGCTGACTAGGAAGTTTAATCATGCTCTGCTTACTCTGTAAACATTACATCCTCCTGCAAGTGGTAGGATAGAGAAAGGAATTACTGACTTTTCACATGAGAACCTACCCATTTTCAACATCTGCTGTTCAAAAGACACTACTATGCTATATGGCTTAGAAGGAAAATACTAGTGATAAGTGGGCTGTTGAATTAGATGGTCTTGGAGGTCTTTTCCAACCTTGATGGTTCTATGATTCTGTAAAAGTCTGTTCCTCACAGCCTTCCTTCTACAATCCCATCTCTATCGGATTTGTTAATCCTGAGTAGTAGCACTCATCAGTGGTGCTAACTTCTGAAAACATGCTTCTCAGAAGCATTTTCAGAGGCCTGCTTCTGTGCCAGTACCTACAACTGCTTAAATAGGTGGGTGAAAAAAAAAATTGTTTTATAAAGATTTTTCACTCTCCTTATTATTTTTGTCTCTTAACAACTAAGACCTGTCAAGTGATAATTGTTCCACTTCCTAGGTATTTCTAAATGGTATATTGCCTTCTGGTATCCCAAATAACCGTGCAGGCAGAGAACTGTCTTTTATATA